CTCGTCAGTAGGCTGTGGCAGCCTGCGTAGGAGCAATTTTGAATGCTGGTGGCGGCAAAATCGCCTCACTTTATTTTTTCTTTTGTGTTCTGTGGCGATTATAACGGCACTATACACTCAGCCGTGTCAACCTTAACTGCCTAATATATTTGACCACACCAGAGGATAGCCGAACTGCATGGGTATTGCCCCCTCACTATATGAAATTCAACGAGTCTCATAAATCGAACAACATATATTGTACGCGTACCCCACGGTGCCGCGTTATCCGGACATGATTTGAGAAAGGTCTCAAATAACACAGCATATCCAAAATACAGTGTCGACGACAGTCACTTCACGACGATCGCACGGAATCCGGCTTGTCATGGGGTACGTTTTGAAGAGTGATGTTTTTTATACACAGCACTAGTGCGAATGAACGAACGTGTCTATTTAGTTCCCATTCCCCGGACCCTATCAGCTACTTCTCGCCAAGACCGGGAACATATCCGGGAAGGCTTTTCGGAGAATATCTCAACGGAAATAATCCTCGAAGAACGTCGAACGGCCTGCGTCGCGGGCTGCTTGACGTTCGCTTTCTTCGCCCGTTCTCTTCGCTCATTTCTTGCGAAGGTCCAGAAGGCTATAAGTCCTGGTATTCCCAAGTTCTCACAGTGGAAGATTACAAAAACACGCAAGCATCCTGAACAGGCAAATAGAGTAAACACTTAGAAGGAAAGCCGGCGAACTCCGAACACACGATGCAGGTGGGGAGTCGCGCTGATCGGGTTTCCACAGCTCAGGCGGGTGGCAGAAATTTTTGGCTAATAGGGGTCACTCGAGTCGCAAAATGGCGGCGGCCAGCGAGCTGTTTCTGCAAAGGTCTATACTGTCTCCGTGATAAAAGATAAGAGGAAAACCATATAATAACTTTAAAAAAGAAAGATATGTACTTGTCTGTGTTTCTGACCTCTTTGGGTTTATTCTTTCTGTGTTTGTAAGTCTCTATAAACAAGCTCCCTAAATTTTAATTCAAGTTGTGTGAGCTTCATGTCCTGACTCAGTACGTCCGCCCGTCACCCTGTGTTCAATCCCCGCAACTTCTTTCAAGCCGTCAGCTACATCTCAATAATTAACTTTCTGCGGCTCCGTCTACGCTCCCTGGGGCTTTGCTTGCGAAAAAACGTGGCCCACGCCTCCGTGGACTTTGTGCTGGGATTCCACTCCCATACTTGGTTGTCAAGCTACAGGATCATGCAGATTTCAAGAATAGAGATATCCCAGGAACTTCGACTCATGACAATGACTCTCCCCGGCCACGACAGCACTCCTCGATACGTTTTACGCCACAGACCCTCGTTCCTCTTCCTCAGGAGTTCTGCAGTCGGGCTCTTGGAGGCCGCAGGGGTAAAAATCCTGGGGAGGTACGCAAGTCTTGCCAGAAGGCTTCGGACTTCAACTGAAACCCCCTGTTGTACTTTTGGACAAACAGCTTTCCCCGGACACGGTGGGACTTCTGTCTCACGGGCCCAAGTTCGCCCTAGACCTTCCAGCATCGAGGGTAGACCAACTGACATCCGTTTACAAGGTAGCAGCAAGTAACCCTGAAAAGGATCGTCAGAACTTCGTAGGGACAGCTGTGCATTCCGTTTGTGCCCACCTGCCTCCTCCAGGCAAGTCATTAGTATACTCAACAGTAGAGGAGCTCCGCAACGCCCAGCTAAAGCTGCTAGAGTAAGAAAAGATGGTAGTTTTCGTTGTTATGAACGAGGACATCTAAGAGGAAAAGGTGGAAGCTGCACTCGAAAAAAGAACTGCTTTACTCAAGGAAAGACCTTCAGGGTCTTTAAGGTCTGAGGCTAGGGAGATATGCTCTCAACTGAACCTCCCCGCTCTGAGAAAGAAATGCGTTAGCTTTGCCCGCACATCAGTTCATAAGAGTGCCTTTTTTTTTCTGCAAAGACCCATGCAGAAAACGCCCCGCTCCGCGGCATTGTTTCGGAGAACGGGTGCTGGCAGAAGAATGGTCTCCAACGGCCAACTCTGCCAGCAACACCAGCGGTCGAACCAACGAGAGCCCCTGGGAGACAGACGGTCTCCAACACAACCATGGCAAATCGTCACCAATGACTTCTTCCATCTCCACAGTGTCACCTACCTACTTGTAGTGGACTACTTTAGCAAGTACATTGTGATAGAGCAAAAGGGGGACACCTCTGCTATCAAAGGATCGCAACCCTAAAAAAGGAGTTTGCTTGATTCGGCATTCTAGAAGGGGTCTGTGACAACAGCCTGCCATTCAACTCTGAAGCATTCAAAGGGTATCTCAAGTGCTTGGACATGACAAATAATCCAAGTTCTCCTGATTACCCACAGTCGAATGAACTTGCAGAGAGGTCAGTTCAAAGAATGAAAACAGCGTGACCAAGGCACCGAAGGAAGGCAACGACCTGTCTCTTGTCCTTATGGAGCTTAGGGACACACCGATGGATCAGCTCCTGTCCCCATTGGAACTGCTAATGGGCCGCAGGATCACAACCCTCAAGCCAGCTGCTCCGCGTTAACTTGAGCAGCACTACAACATCAGGGAGGTTCAAGCACGCCTTCAGTTCCGTCAAAAGTGTCAGCACCGACATGGTGACGCACACAGCAAACCACTACGTCTTCTGAGTCAAGGCGAGAGAGTCTATTTCCGTCGAAACCACAAATGGGAACCCGGAATTGTGGTCCAAGTCGGACAACAGCCACGATCATACCTAATCAGAGCGGAAGACGGGGGAGGGGAGGGGGGGGGGGCATTACAGAAGAAATCGATTCCCCATCTGACCATTCGCTTGAAACAACAACGCGATCCCTGAGGACTACTACCAACTCACGTTCAACGACCAACCTCACCAATGTCCTGCCCAGTAGTCCCGCATACCCGAAACCACTCGATCAAGCCATCAAGTTGTTCAGCCAGCAAGGTATCGCCGAATCTGTGGACTCTGAGCTCTTAAAATTCGCATAAACTTTCTTTTTGCAAAATAAAAGGGAAAAAAGGATCTGTTATGTATTTAGAAAACTATGGTTGGTGGTGCCCACTTCGCAGTTTCTCACAAATCGGCGTTGATACCCACACGTGCGACTCAGCTAGCCTTACACCACAAAACAGCTATGTGCCTGGCGTCGTTCCCGTTCTCGTAATAAAGTTTGTCAACCAAAAACATTTCAGTATGAACAACGTTATCCACAAACACGGCACGTGTCAGTTCCTGGATCTCCTGGATGTTTACCTCCACTCAACCTCAGTGGAGTACGAGGGCAATGTTTATATAAAGAGAGCGGAGGTGTGCATCAGGTCATGCTTTGCAACAGTTATGAGTAAGGTATGTATTTACTCGCACAATGAACGCACTCGCGTAATGAACGCACCCCCCAAGTCGGCTTCCAAAATTTCGACTTTTTTTTCACTTGCATATTAAACCCTCCCCCAACTGGGAAGTCAAAACTTTGACCCCCTCCCCTTTCCCCACACGCGCGAAATGAACGCACTTTTCTATCCTGGTGCAGCGAGGTCGCAAATGCATGGGTAGCGTGGCCGAACAAAACGCCTTGCAAAAGGCCTTAAAAATAAAAAAAGACCCATTGGAATCATTTATCGAAACTACAGTACGAAAACCAGTGTCTCCCACTTAGACTTGGTTCTTTCTAATTTAACTTCTCTTGAATCACGTCGGACAGTCGCTCGCCTTACTCTTTTTCATAACTTTTATTACAACATGCAATCATTTATGCTCACTCACTGTAAGTCTGTCTCATACATTTCTTTGCGTCATGATCATTCCTTGAAAATTGCACCTATATTTGGTCGCACTAATAGATACAAATACTCTCCTCTTGCTCTGTCCATTAAAAATGGGAATTCTCTCCCAAACGACATAGTCACTGAATAGAATGATAAAAATTATTCCGCAAAAAATTTTTGGCTTTGGTACTATGTTTTCAGCGCCATGTCTGCTTGTGTTTCCTATAAATTGTGCACTGAGTCCCCAGTTCTGTTGTGCCCGGTTTCTGTAAACTTTGTTCTGAATTCTGTATAGTTTGTTTTTAGTTTTTGTTTGTTGTTAATTTTTAACCTTAGTTAGTTCTTTTATTTCCATTATATCATTGCATTTGTTTGTATTTTTCTACCCCCCCTCATGTAATACGTTTGAACGAACGTATTTGAGGCGAATAAAACTTGAAATTGAACTTGATTCGAGTCCATTGAGCTGCGAAGGCGAATACATCGGCCATCGGAAGATGCTTAAGTGCTCGCTTTAGGGAACACCATTTAGATGTTACCAAGGCATCATCGGACTCGTTCCACCCAATAGTTCTGCATGCCCGTACCTGCCACGATTGCACCCCACACTTTGAAAACACCACTTAGCTAAGTTCACACATAGATAAATGTGGGCCCGAAACAATAGAAGCGTTTAAGGTCAGATATGCCGTGAGCAATGTCTCTGGGACATCTTTGGCTTTGTCGTCAAAAAAGCTGGAATTTCTAGCGTAAAAATTATCGTAAAAAGCTTGTTGTGATCAATTAATTTTGTCTTTTCCTTTCTTTTCTTATTTGTTTTCCCCCCTTTTCAGGGGTTAAATTCCTGATTATAATGCAGTTAATGTAAATGTACAAGCGAGCTGGACAAGAACCTAGCTGTGTTTGGAGATTTGTGTTTGTCCTTTGTCCCTCTTGTTCCCATTTTCCAGGATTATTTTCGTCATTAATTTCCTTTCTTTTTTTTCTTCCTTTCCCCCTTTTCACGAAATTTCCTTAAGTTTTTCCCTATAATTGTTTTGCTATCATTTTAATTTGGTATTTTTAAAGTTTGTGATTAAATTGGTTTTATATTAAATTTTGAATATTTTCGTTTTCTTTCAATTCTTTGTCGTTCAAGGTCGTAGCGTAATGGGCATCTCATAAATGTTCGCTGCTCATTGAAAGAACTGTGTGTGTCTGTGTTTGTCCTTTACGAGTTTTATTCTTTCAGTGCATTCTGTCAGTTCCTCAAGGCTCTTCTCACATCATGTGGTGACATTTGCGTCCAGTGTTATATAGCCCTGTCACATGGAAGAGGTGGAGGAGACCAGCTTACTAAAAAGTATATCAGCATCACTGGTATTTCCTTTCTCGTTGGAAATGACTTCTGCCCCTTTTGTTTAATGGGAGTCCTTTGCATGTTCTTTGCTTACTTTTCAAACGGTTCAAAAGTGTGATATGGGGTAGGCAGTTATGCGACAATGGTGCATGCCCAGTATATCACGGTAGCTTAAACAAGAGACTTTGGAAGTGAACATCAGGAGAATCTCCTGTTTCATTCTTTCTAATCCAGGGTGCCAATTTCGAAACATGTTGTACAATCTTTAAATAACTTTTAGCACAAGGAAGGAAAAAGGAGAGGAGGCATTATGTCAGTTCGCTATGCAATTCTAGAGATTTTACAACAGTACAGTACAGGACACCAAGCCGGTTGGAACCAGATCATTACATCTGTCAGTGTGGCTTCTAGGTACTTTAACTAGCTTATTAGTTCGCAAAAGAGCTCAATGAATTGTGGAGGCTAAGCCTCGTAAGACTTCTGCAGACTGACTGCACTGAGCAATAAAACGAAGAATTCAGCTGGATTGTGTAACGTAGAAAGATAAACCGGGAAAAGAGCATGGGCAAAACTGGGGAGCTAAACCACGCAAGGCATTTCGTGCTATGTCTCGTCTAAACTATTTTCTTTGTTGCTGCACTTTCTGTCATCTTTAGCAGGCAGTATGCACTGATTTCACTTACATATTGGGTGGATTCGACCATAAAGCTAGACGTTTGTATTAGAAAACCAAGCGTATGTTTTATCGGAGTAATGGCACATAGAATTTGCACTCTTTTTAAGAGGGATAATTTATCTAAGCCAATTGTTTCATACTAAATTGCCAAAGATTCTGCCCCAGTTTTCAAAAACAGACTGGCAAATGCTTTCATTTATTTAGTAACATTTGATCTGTTTATTTACAGGAAACACTGCCTCTATTGCTGTCATCAACAGCCAGCTGGCTGAAATCAAGCCACCACACAGCTCCACGAGACTCCCGAGGGCACTGAGCACACGCCTATTCTGGAAGGCTTCCGAATGGCGCCACTGGCTGCTGTACCACTCGCTTCCCTGCATGTACAGGGTCCTTCTGGACCAATACTGGCCGTACATAAAGAAGCTGGTGGAGGCCGTCCATGCACTTTTGAGGGACACCGTAACTCCAGCATCCATTGATGTTGCACGCAAGTTCTCCCCCTTCGGTTTCTTTGTGTCCTGCTTCGGGCCAGCTTTAATAATGTCATATTGTGCTTTCAGAGAAACTCCTCTGGACCTTTGTGGGCATGACAGGGAGGCTGTATGGAGCTCCAGCAATGACGTTCAGCCTGCACCAGTTACTCCACCTAGCGGAAGCAGTGCAGCAACTGGGGCCATTGTGGGGCCATTCTGCTTTTGAATTTGAAAGCGGTAACGGGCAGCTTGTGAAGCTGCTGAAAGGATCAAATGCTCTTCCGGAAAGGGTAGTGAAGTATCAGCAGTTGGGATCAAACTTTGGTGTCCTCGCTTCTAAGTGACAGCGTCAAAGTGATGTGCTGTGATATTCTGGGATACACTAAACACCAAAACTTCAAGTATGCAAACGAAGTGTGCCTGCTCGGTTCCTCTTCGAAGGCATCCTTGAGCAAAGAGGAACAGAGTTGTCTTTCCGCTGGATCTGGGGCCGCCTTTGATCAGGCTACAGAGTACAAGCACTTCGCATGGAAAGGGCAGATTTGTCACAGCCGAAACTATGCCAGGAGTAAAAAGACAGACTCCTAGGTCATTCAAATAAAGGATATGTGCGATTTCACCATTTTGAGAGTGTTGCCTTTGAAAGGTGAGGTAACACTTCTGTGCAGGGAAGTTGTCATCACTTGGCAGGTGCTTTCCCGCAGCACATCAGGCTTTGTTTTCTTTCTCACGTGAACTTGCAGGCTGTTAAACCACAGCAGCTGAAGGCACCATGCCTTTTTCTCACTTTCAGGAAGCCCTCAGCATGCTATGTCTGTGATCTGTCAAACCTTCTTGAGCGCGATTGATGTAATGTAACCAGGTGAGCCGAAGTAAAGTGACTGTTCCCTAGGAGTTGAAATATTCAAAACAAACATCCTGTGATTATTTGTCCCTGTTTTGCCTTTGTGTCAACAAGGGAAATCTATCGAGATTGTGCCTTTCACATCTTCAGACTTCTTGTTTTGCTCCTAAGGTGTTCCTTCAGGTAACTCTACATTCATAAGTGATTTTCTTTGTTTACAATTTGTTATACTTCGTGTGCTTGATTTGCTCTTCTGAGACTAGTCGGGCTAATTTGATTATCGACCTGTGGAAGATGGCTATTGTTTGAGTAAATCAATTCCATGTCTCAGCCTCCTAATGTGTCTTTCCCTAACCTTTCTGACAAAAATGTGTGAAGCTTCTAGGGGTAGCAGTAGGGTAGGCTTGTTTTTAACTGCAAGCAGGCAAATGAGAAAATCACTCTTTTGTTATTATAATGCAAGTTGAAAAGACTGAAATAGACTTAGACCTTTCGTTATTCTGTCTACATTGCATCATAATTGAATAGCTTCAAAAACCTTCTGTATTCGTGGACCACAAAATAGGCTTTTGTTAATAGCATTTCACATATGATTTGATTGATTTTGTTTTCATACTTCTGTGTTAATTTTGACTAGTTAATTGTTTTAGTAACTATAGGTTATGTATGAGGGTTATAAGTTCTTGGCTCTCTTAATTACTGTACTGTCATTCGATGATTTGTCTCTTAACACCTACAAGTACTTGTGAAAATCTTAAACTGGCACACGTAAAACAGAACAGCAAGATAGTTACTGATGCTTGTCTAGTGAGCTTTCAAACACAAATATTAAATAGAGCGTGCACATTAGAATGTATAGCAATGTATTTCTGGGGTGGAGTTGCCCTTTGAGGTTATTACTTGAAGTAAGCATTTGTGCAAGTTGGTTTAAATTTATGTAGTGTCTAATGGCCTTTCGGTGTCTTGGGGGTTCTAGTAATATTTTTTTTCTGAGATCAATCATAGTATAGAAATAAATGTAGAGCGGATGCAGAGGATGCTAACTGCTGTTAACGAATTCCAATAAGGTAGAAATGTTTGGCGACTTCATTATAAAAAACAATTACTTTTTTTTCATTTCAATGCTTCTAAAAATGCCTTCTGCACTTGATGGGCCAGCTGCATTCTTCAAGTTGTCATGAATCTGCCTAGAACGTGCCTTTTTTAGCTCGTCTTAGCAAGACATAATAGCAGTAGGTGATGCCACTAAAAAACCTGTGTCGACATTTAGCTAAGACAGCTCTATATCAATTTCACTATCCACTAGCTGGGCTGAGCATTTTCAATTCTAGGCATACTGTAAGTTTTGGTTGGCAGGAATTCCATTTGTTCTATATTATTTCCAGTTTCCACAAACTCGTATATATGCTTTACAGAATAGGCAACTCTGCCACCAAATGTAATACCTATAACTTAAATTTCCATAGCTGTTTGCACTTTGTTGGGCCAGCCTAACAACTAAAAAAATATAAACGACATACATATCCGAGATTTTTTGTTTCGCGAAATGTTTTACCTGGATGCCTGAGGGTTTTTCAGCGAATTTCTGCTAAGTGGGTCTTTTACAATACATTCAGGTTTCTAGGAACCACATTTTGTTTTCAATATTCATTTCAGTTTGCACAAACTGGCTTTGGGGATAAGTTAACAGAACAGATCCCTGAATGGAGGTTCCAAGTATAGAGCCAGATACCTAGGTGGTTTTAAAAAAACCCAGTATGTGACCACTATAGTTTCTCCTCCTGGATTTGTTTTCCCACAATATGTATCACATGGCGTAACTGGATATCAATTTTCAGGTGATGGTTCCACTAACTTCATTCTGGAACTGAAAACTTCCAGAGCAGAATTCAGATTCTTCATTCTGGAACTGAAAACTTCCAGAGCAGAATTCAGATTCTTCATTCTGGAACTGACTTTTCCAGAACCAAATCCAAATTCTCCAATTAGGAACTGACGTTTCCAGAACCGAATCCAGATTCTCCAATCTGGAACCGACATTTCCAGAATTGAATCAAGATTCTCCATTCTGGATTTCGGCTTTCCAATTAGCTTCCAGAAAAAAATCAAACTGGGTTCTCAGGTAGGGAAGTATTGTTACGTGTACACTCCAGTATGTGCCTGCGAAACTTTGTAACATATATTTATATTTCAGCTTGCTTTTGAAAGGGAACTTAGGTTTGAAACCGACATTGAAGAAGACGAAAGATGCCTCAAGAAGGTTCTCCTAGAAACAGCAGAGTTGGCCACCTTCCTTTGCTGTCCCCCAGCCCTTAACACTGTCTGCAACACCAACGAACCACGGAGTCGTCACAATCTTCTGCTTTCGCACCCACACCATCTGACAATGATGCACCATGCGTGAAGGGGATCATTTTTTCAAAGGAAGAACTGTGAACAGCCGTGTCTAAGATCAAGCCATCACAATGCCCTTGTCCAGATGGTGTGGCACCTGCCTTTTATAGGATGATAACGCAGTACAGTTTGATCCCTCCCTCAGCTGTCTACTTCAAAGTATTTTCGATGAGGGAGCTGTTCCTACCACCTGGCAACACGCCTTACTCACCCCTATTCACGAAAGGAAAGAGAAGCCTACAAGTGACGTCAAGCATTAGCGTCCAACCTCAATAACATTAATCATCTACCGCACATTAGGATGCATACTGAACAGTCAGTTCCTCGATTTTTAGAGAGCACTGGATACTTATTGCAGACACAGCACAGTTTTAGGCACGCCCGCAGCTGTGGGACGGTCCTGGCGACCCCGTGTCATTTTGTAAGCAACAATCTTGGCAGTCGCAAAAAGAAAGATTTTCTACGGCTTCATCTTAGTTACGCGTTCGATGCCCTCAACATCGATCTCCTGCTACATAAAATGTCAGGCGCCAGCGTTCATGGCTTCCTTCTCAAGTGGCTGCCAAACTAACTGAAGGGAAAAATCCCACAATTTGTTTACCAAGGTGTGCACTGAGCTACGATGAACGTCCCCTCCAGTGTGCCACAGTACCGGTTTCTTGTCAATGACATGCCTCAGGATGATAGATTTTCTTTCGTTCAGTACGCAGACCACACCTCGATGCTGGCTCCACCTGGCTGCCTCCTTCTCCAGGACTACATCAAAGACATAAAGTGCCGGGTGACTAACAACTGCTAGCGGCTGCACACAACGAAAAGTGCCGTGATGCGCTTTAGCAGGCCCCACAGGGTGGGCAAATCGAGCTATCATTTGCTCAGTGAGCCCCTACCATGTATGACTCTTTGTCAAGCTTAGAAATTACATTCACACAAACATTAGATTTCACAGTGCACATAGGAAGTGTTGTACCAAAGGCTCGGCGAACCATGGGGGTTGTTTCTTGTATCTCCAGGTCATGGGGACCTTCGCCATAATCTCCGGTCATAAGGTGCATAAGACAGATTTCCAGAAAGGTAAGGGAGGAGCCCCAAAAGACCAGTTCGACCACTTCGAAGTTTCCAAAACTTGCTTTTACGCAAAATGGTCCAACCAGCACCACAAAACCCTCTGCCATGGCCACTGATGCTTGTGTCATCGCCAAGTTTCAAATTGAGGGAAAACAAAGCATTTGTACATGACTTATTTTTCGTGGGCTCCATTTTTCGCGAATTCGACTGAAGCTGAAGAGCTGGAATAATTACTGGTACCCATTTTTGCAATCCGCAAGGACCTCACTACAGCTTTCTGTATGTTCACATTTTAGCCAAATAGTTTGTGAGACCTATTTTTTGCAAAATGTAGACGATTCGTGAAAATTAGGTCTTCGTGAAAATTAATTTGTTTCCAGTATACAGTGGTACTAGTTTACTTAATTTCTCGTGACGGGCATGAAGGGGGCCAGATGGAAGGCGGATCATTATAATAAGGGTGACGAAGTTTATGCCACAATAGGCTGGGACACATCACAACAGATATAGTAGTCGGTAAGTCAGAGTCATATAGGATCACAAGGACACTCATTGTTATCTCTGTCTCTTGTGCTCCGAAGGAAAGAGCTAGATTTTCGTCACCCAATACTGCAAGCTTAGTGGCAGTGCAGCAGCCGCCCGTCGCCCCGCCCGCCGCCTGCCTCCCCCCCCCCCCCCCCCCCCCCCATCCGCCGGGGGGGGGGTCACGTTTCAGCTGCAAGACCGCAACTTTATGATAATGCTAAAAGCTCTGCTAGTTAATATTCGTTGTATATGATGAGTGCAAAAACAGCATAAGAGGTATATAAGGTAAAATTGTACAAAATCAGAATAGGAAGACCAGGATAAGACGGAGCGCTCTGTCCTATTCTTGCCCTGCCTTGTGGGTGAAAACGATTCAATGCGGTGGGAAAAATGAAATATTACTGCTAAAGTCAGACGTCATGTAACATCTGCTTTGTTCACACTTCATTTTGATTTCTTTTGTCTAATTTCCACGACTTACAGATCCCAATCTTTAGGTTTGAGGCTTATGCTAATTGGATTCGAATAGGTTTGGTGATCAGTTCGAAGTGCAGTTTTTTAGCTGTCTCTCATCAATGATGCTTATATTAACAGTGCCTGAACGAGGGCAGGCTGCTACAGTCGCTGCTGCTGCAGTCACTGCTGTTCCAGTCAGTGAGCCGCATCTGTTTGAAGTCACTGATGGCAAGGTAAATTAGGAACTTTTTTTCACAAGATTAGCAATTCTAATGTTGCGATGGCAATAGTGTAGATCAACAGAAAAAAATATGAAAGACGTTTACAATTCTCTGTAATGTAAAATTAGAGCGCAGCTCTTGAGGAGGGGAGGGGAGGGTATGTCCCTGCTCCCCCTCCATACCCTTTCCTCCTCCTCTCCTGCTTCCCTCCCATTAATCAGGAAATTTCCGCTCAATTTCCCCCTAAATTAAGCGAAAATTTACCCGCTAAATAAAGCCGGGAAATATTCTTCTTAAATTCAGCGGGAAATTTACCGAAACTCTCCCGCTAAATTCAGCGGGGAAACTTAATTGGTGTTGAGGCCACGTGATGTCGATTTCCCCGTTAAATTTAGCAGAAAAATTTCCGTTACATTTTTTCTGCTAAATTGAGCTAGACTTCAAGTGTGACGTCATTACGGGAAAGGTCTCATAATGCAACACGCGTTTACGCCAATGCCGACGCCACTCAACCCGGAAACGGGCGTCTAAAAGCTGCACTTTAAAAAAGTTACCCAAGCTTGACTATCCTGTCAAAGCCTTAGAAGCACAAAATGTGTCAAGCTCTACCATACACATGATGTGCGTGCTGTGCATATGGGGATTGCTGGGCACAATGTTCATGGCTGCTCAGCCTCATCTTCTGCCTGCCTCTTGCTTCGTGCATTCTTCACTCCCATCCGCTAAGGAAGAGTAAGAACGCATACCTACTTAAGCCTTGCACGCTCCATTTATTTCTAATCTTACGTGACATGCGATACGTAACCTTACACTACAGTAAAACCTCGTTATAACAAAATGGGATATAACAAACTAATGGATATAACAAAGCAATCATAATTCCCCTTGCTTGCTAATAGTATGGAGAAATGGACATTGGCTATAACAAACTAATGGTTATAACGAAATAACTACGACCGCTCCTTCAACTTTGTTATAACGAGGTTTTACTGTATTGGTTATCATTTTGTAATCATGCTGGCCTACTTAGCACTTGCATGATTTAATTAGGCCTGAAGTTAGGTGACACATGATCCCGTAATCTCCGTGATTAGGCAACTTATGTGGTCATATAATGTTACGTGATCATGTGCCATATTCAGAAATTTGGCAGTGCTGCTAGTGCTCCCCTGAAAAAGAAAACCGTGGATATAAAACCCCGCTCTTGGAAGCGGCTATGAACTCTTGCCGATGGCAGAGTGGTTAAAGCACCGCGCTCCAAACTGTGGGCACATGGGTTTGAATTCAGTCGAGAGCTACCAATAAATTTAGTTCCAATTTATATTCAATTTAAAGGGGCATTATGTGTAAATGGGAGGAGAAGGCTGAAAGGGGGAGATGGCTGCTGGTCCCTGTGGACGGAACCTAAAGCGATATGACCGACACACTCTGCAATGGCCTCCGGTCGGTGTTGATGCAATGTGATCTCTGCCCAGTGCTCTGAATGTCAACGTGAGGAGATTCATCAAAGCGCGAATAAACGGCGGGAGTAACTATGACTCTCTTGGTGCCCCTTGTTTACGTACCGCCATACCAGGTATGGCACTGCATAGATTGTTGGCACTGGGCACGTCATCGCATCCTCCGTGCGCCGTGGCCTTGCAGCTGCCGCACATGGTCGACTTGAAAGATTGACTAGAACGGTCGTTCATCTTTAAGGGCAAGGTGCCTCGATCTAGGGGTGCTGTATCCAGGTTTTGGGCGAGAGAGGGGCACAAGAGTGCAGACGGTGCTGCCCTGAAGGAGTGCTCACGTGTACCGTCTTCGCAGGTGTGGGTTGGAAAAGGTACACGTCCGATGAATGGAAAGAGGTTCATTGATTTGGTAAAGACGAGGGCAAATGCGCTTCCTCACATGACTAGGACTAAAAGGGGTCGGGACGTCTTGACTCGTCGGGCCGGTTGTGACTCCGCGGAGTCACTGGGACACATTACGCAAAATTGCTTCTGCACGCACAGTGCCAGAATCAAACGACATGATAGTTTAGTGCAGTATGCTCCTGGTCATCTGAAAGAAAAGGGATGGGAGGTGCTGGTAGAACCCGAGTGCCACACCGCAACACAGAAATATGTGCCAGACCTCGTTATTGCAGGAGGTAGTCAGATGACTGTGGTTGATACACAGGTGGTGGGTACGTATTCCACCCCAGATGCCGCACATGAGCGGAAAGTGCAAACTATAGTGTTCCAGAGCTTCTGGATATTATTAAAGGGGCCAATAGTGTTGCACCGGTTGTGACTAGTTTGACTATCACATATATATCAAGTGTTTGGTCGCCAAAAAGTGCTGCAGCTCTTACCAATCTTGGGTTTGGTAGACAGGATTTTAAGGTATTGACTATACTTTGCCTTCGGGGGGGGTCAGGTGCTTTCGTCGGCATCAGCAGATGACCTCCGTGGTGCACGGGCGATGAAGCGCCCCGGCGGTTGTGTGTTGCCATGGGGCTATTGGTGGGTCCCTCTCCCTTGGAGAGGATAAGGACTTCCAGACTTCATGCCAAAGATCAGCCTGATGCCTCTGCGAAGGGGTGGGCGAGGAAACGATTTTTGTGCACAAGTCCTACTCGTTAAAAAAAAAAAAAGCCAAATGCTTTGGGTATTTTGTGGGTAAACAGAAAGTCAGCTTCGTTTCGGCTGCGTTTGGTTAGCGAGCCGAGTTCCCGGCGATCGCGCCTTTGGCCAGGTCCGCACGCCTCCACGACTATTGCGTGCTCCCGGACACCGCCGGGTACCCCCCGCTGCTCTTGGAAGATTCTCAAGTCCGCCAGCGCAGTTTCAGCACCTCTCCAAACGTGTGAGCAGCCGGCCGCTGAGGCTTTCTTCACCCCTTAACGGTCACTCGTTTTTTGGCTGCTGGAGTTAGTGCTAGGCGCTAGTGGACCGCTGGTTCCTACACTAAACATTTTTTTTTTCAGTCTCCGTGCGTCGAACCACGCACAAAAGTCCCTGGTCCCACTGCCATCCTTTTTTTTTTCTCGTGGCAGCTCTGCCGGTTTCCAGTTCGAACTTTGCACGCGAACTGGGAGCGCATGCAACTTTGTTTAGTTGCGCCGGCCATCAACAGAGGGCAATACGTTCCACCCGTGGATTTCACCACCTCTGTTAGACTAGCAGCAGAGAAAAACGTCTTTTCACTTTCCTTTCCTTTCTTTTAGCAACATTTGTAGGTTTTTTGTTCGTAATCAAGCGCAGTTCGGCACTTTGGCGCAATAAACATGGTTTTTGGGGTTTTTTTTTTTGTGCTTCGGCATGCAGCCCTGTGGATCGGATCTACGCTTTGGGGCTACGCAGGGCACCACTAGCTGGTTTTCACTACATGTAGTGGCGTAGTCTGCAGGACTAGTATAATCTAGTGCTCTAGGGAACTTTGTACCTTTTGAACAAGTTACTGTGGCCTGTACAGCACAGGCCACATTACCAGGCTCTCCCTCTCGGCCTCACAGCCTACACTTAAATACAAATACCCTGTGTCGCAAGCGGCTGGGGGAATAGTGCTTCATATTTTTTTTTCCTATTTATTTCAGCATGTCAGGGACTCATCCATCACCTAGCGTGTTAGCAAACCTTTGAGAGGCTGTATCCCTCAGAGGAGATTGTCTGCCACCTGTGCGACAAACGACTAACTTCTCGCATCTCTCTGGGGGGCACTACGAACAAGTTCATAGTTGTCACTTCGTACGGAGGTGCTTCTATTGCCTCGCCAAAACGTACACCAAGAGCACCTCCATGTCGTCTCATTACACAAGGTGTCGGAAGAAACCATTAGTATCGCCCACTTCAACCGTAGTGACGAACGCCGACTCACACAGTGTGGCCAGCAACGAGCTTCCGCAGGCTTCCACTCCTTCCCCTGCAAGTCATACCGAGGAGAAGGAGCACCCAGAGTTCTCCCGGGACTCCAAGAGGGCAGACATGTCGATGCCCTTCACAACCAGCACCCCTGCTTTGCGTCTCCCACCAGCAGGTGACTGGACCACGGAGGACGTCAGGACTTTGGCGGTCCAAGAATTGTCGATGCCCGCCAAGATGAAGTTTACCAACAAAGAACTCGCCAAGGGGTACGCAGGGGTACCTTGGCAAACCATCAAGGGCATCAGGGGGCGGAAGTTGTACAGGGACTTGCTACAGCAAGAACAGCTGCGGAGCAGGTTACCTCGGCCGGACTCCAGGGTTCCTGCACATGGTGAGCCCCCCACTGCCACTCCAGGGGGACCACTGCCATCAGTGCAAGATTCCTCCGGCCTGCAGACGGACATACCCTCATCACCCCTCACCACGCCAAGACCACAGCGGTGAAGCGAGAAGTCCATACATCATTCTCCAACCCCGGTCACCCCCCGAGATATCCCCCCTACACCGGAGGCAAGGCCCTGGACAGAGAGGGACACTCATGCACTCGTGCTGTGCAAGCTCCAGGCTTCTCTGTGCATGCGTAGTGACGAAGAGCTCGCTGCATTGATGCCAAGAAGAACATGGCAGAGCGTCCGGGACTACCGTCTGATGCCCCAGTGCGCAGAGGCGATGCGCAGGGAGCTCGGCACGCGACGGGGAAAGGATGTCTCACCCTTACTCCGAACTTCATCCCTTTGTGGCCCCTCGCCAGACACCCCGTCAACTGTCATCGTTCCTGGTCCCTTTGCTAAATCCATCATCGCAGAGGTCACACGTACATTGGCACCGCAAACTCTCTTCCACCAGCAGAGTTCAACGCGCGGTGGACCGTCTCGGAACTGACGGCACTGGCCAGGGCAGAGATCACCTGCAAGGACCACCCTCATATGAACCTTGCTTTTGCCAGGGTATTCACCACCCAGTCCTCACAGGGAATCACAGGGCAGCGAAATACACGCCATTACAAGGAGATCCTGGAGACCTTCAAGGCGGCGGCACACAAGCAGCCGGTTCCTATTCAACCGGTCCGCGTTCACGACGCCGGATCTGCCTGGGTGCGTCTGCAGCCCGCACCAGGAACCCCTGTCACCATCGCTCAAGGGTTGCTGGACCCCATCAAGATAGGAGAGGACCTGGGGAGAGGGGAGGCACCGAGGGCAGCAAGAAAAAGAAGCGTCGTCTAGCCAAGAACCGTAACCAGCGCCGTAACGAACGCTATGCAGAGCATCAACGGCTGTACAGTCTGGGGCCTAAGGTGCTCGTCGACGAGTTGGGGCTGGACTGGGCTGACCCAGCTGTCCTCTTCTCGGAGCTCCACCGGGTCTACGACCTTCTCATGTCTACACCATCAAGACCGGTTGACGGGTTCATAACATCCGAACAAGTACTCAACGTAGAGGTGGAGCCGTTCACCGAAGGAGAGCTCCAAAGAGTGCTCAAGAACACCGACGCAAAGACTGCCCCTGGCCCGGACGGCCTTACCCTGAACGAGGTTTCCAGATTCCACCAGCCATTCTTGCCATCATTTTCACCAACTGGTTGGCCTTCGCTATGCTTCCCGAGGTCCTCAAGGTGGCCAAGAGTTTTCATACCCAAGTCCCGCTCGGCCACTACTGGCGGAGACTTCAGGCCCATCACCATCTCATCCATCCTACTGCGCATCTACACAGGGGCGCTGCTCCGACGGTTCGCGCAAGATCACGTCTTCCACGACCTCCAGGGTGGATTCGGCGACGACAGGAGAGCTTCATCCAACATCAGTCTTCAGGCCCTCATGAAGGCGAGGAAGCAGGCTCGACAGAGCTTCTACAGCCTGAGCCTCGATGCCTGCTGTGCCCCGTCTGCGGAGTGCCGGAACTGCACCACCCCATCCACCTGGCGGGCGCCTTGCACCAAGCTCGCGTCGCCGCGGACTGGGCTCGCCGAGCCGCACCACCTCCTGCTGCACCTCCGGCAGCTCCCCGCCCGTTGAAAGTCGCGGAGGCCATCCGGGTGCTCCGCCGATTCCGCCCGGATCTGCTCCGCGACCCGGCCCACGAGGAGGCCATCTTAGACCTCGACCTCTAAGGGGGAGAGGTGTGGGGCGCTCGGCCCGCCACACGGCGGCCAAACCGGCGACTAGCGGGGGGGCGGCTCCCGGTGCCCATTGCATACGCACGGGCTTAAAAGGGGTGGCCAGTGCGGCCGACAGGAGTTGCTGTCCCGAGTCTTGGCCAGGTCGGGATCCAGGAGTCATGGTAATAAACCCCGCTTGACCCCAAGGAAAGAGTCGTCTGATTGATCACCTGCGGCGGACGGCGGAAGTCGAACGCTACAACACTCCAGAAATAGTGCCACAAAGAGTGCCGCAATGATTACGAGTATTTTACCTACTTTTCCTTCGTTCAGCACGTTCCAAATGGAAGTGTAGCTTTTCAACAATTATTTTGCACAATGGCATGTTCTTTAACAAAGGAAAGTGGTACACGCATTTATTATGGGCATATAACTGAAAATCAAAGCAGAATACTAATTATGGTCTTTATTTCCAAAAAGACAAGATACTCTGGGTGCCTTGCAAGACTAGGCAGGTAGACGGGTCCGTATGGAGGAGCGTTTGCCAGCCAGCCAGCCAGGGCAAACACTACAGCGTACCGAAAACACAAAATCGCTACATTGCGCGAATAAACTTTAAACATTAATTCATAGACGTTGCAACATCCATGAAACACATACAGGCCGTGGTAATGAACCACTAAGGTTGAAACCAGCTACGCTTCGAACGGGCTCGCCGCCGGCAGAAGTGGTCCGGGATGGAACGCCAGTGCCACCTGATAGATTCTACACAAAGTGCCTCACATGGAGGCCGCCGCTTTTTCCACTACCCGCCTTATTCTGGTTCGCTATAGCTCGTCTGCTCACTGTGCGATGACGTAAAGGCGGGCCCTGCAGAAATCACAGGCTTGAGGAGAGCGGAGGCCGGCGCAGCTTTGAAACCGGCTGCCGTGGCCCGTGTCTGCCCTCGGGCAGAGTGTCGGGGGCCTCCAGCCTTCTAGTTCACCATGGCTGACAGCCAGGAATGCGCAGATTCAGATTCCTCACCCCCTCGGGCTGCCAAGAGGACAGACTATTGGAGCTGGGAGATCCGCGGCATGTCTAGCATCGGAATCGTTGAGTGGGTGTCCGACTCCTCTCGGTTCTAGGCGCAAATGTTACGGGCATGGTGGAAATCGAAATAAGTAAAGCTCCCCGCCCCCCCCCCCCCCCCAACCTGCGTTCACGCCGCTTCACAGCGACAGTGTGTGGCTGCTAAGTGCAAAAGCATTAACCCACTTGGCACCCCCCCCCCCCTCCGTACACGCCGCGTTGCGGCGTCCAGCTGACAACCCAAGCCCTGCTTTCCTTCATTGCACATCCGGAAAGGAAGTCTTATACCCTTTAGTTCAGCAAAATTTTGTTGGCAACATTTTTTTTTAAGTGTTAATCATAAAAAAGAAATGTAGTAAATATCGACAAAATAAAATGTTCAAGAAAAAAGAGAAAAAAAAAGTAAGTCCACACTGCAGACCGAACCGGGGTCCGCTGCGTATGAGGCAGACACCTTGCCACTTAGCTACGCTACCGCTTCGGAAATTCGTTCTAACCATTCGTTTTATACGAGTTTCAAAACGTCGTGTGCATAGCAATTTTCAGTCAACGTGCACGCGCCCGTGCATATAATTTTACTCAATCAATGTATGCTCGAAGATCCGCCTGCCTCCAAGGGTGACGGACATGACGAGCGAACGGCACATTCAATGCCCATGTCCACATGCCCGAGGGCTCGAACCGTTGCGCTGACTGGGGTTTATTCAAGCCCTTCAGAGCTGTTCTTCAAGATGATTTGCTCAAAGTATCTCGGTAAGTGGCCAAAAACCACTGCAGAAAACACTGATGAGTAAGACTAGGCTGTCTTATCAAAACATTTTGTGGTCTTCGGACGAAGGCCGAGTGTTTCTTTTCTCGTGTTACTGTATTTAACTATTCTTTTATGTGCTTGCTTGAAAACCTGGTTGCGTCCCACCATTAGCTCTGAAGATAACTTTCCGCCCTATTTTGAAATTTTTTTCATCGCGATCGTGACTTTTTTTTGCGAGGTAGCATAGGAGGTGGTGTGATGATTGCAGTTGACAGGCGGTACAATTAAAAAAAACGCGAGGATTTAGAGGGGTCCCCTGAGTGTCTATCGGTTGAAATCGAGTGCACAAAGCGGGTGTTTTATTCGGATTGTTTTATCTCCCTCCTCAAACTACACCTCATCAGGTGTCTTGTAACATTGAGAATATAGTGAAAGAGTTGTATAGGTGCAACCTTTTGATAATGGGGGACTTTAACGCTCCAGGTATTAACTGGACAAATTTAAATGTTCACACTGACAACTTTTATTGCAAGCAGAAATGCAGCCGTCTACTGAACTTCGTATCGTTTTTAGATCTCAGACAGCACAATTATGCTCTTAAAGGGGTGCTCTGGCGATTTCTTTATGGTCCCCGATTGGCTTGAAATTTTGCTAAACTCGCCAAACAACATCGCCAAAATAGTATCCCAAATATTAGGTCAAAATAATTTTTTTTCACGAAGTTATAGAATTTACAATTTTGGTCCTCACCGTGTTTCTCAAACTGAAAGTCTCTACTGGCAACAACGAAAAAGTGACGTCAGTTAAAGTGCAGGGGTTCACTCTTTGGACTGTAGAATTTGTTCCCAACTGATTCGAAGCAGTTTCATGGTGTCAAATGAATGCTTTGGATGCTCGCTCCAATCCCCGTGCTCCAGCACGGAACAAATGATTGGCATATTCTATTTTTTAGACTGCTCGCTCGACTGGCAAGCCTGCCCGCCACTGACGTCACGGCACTGAAAAGTGCGCGTATGTTTGAATGTTGGTTTTTGCACCATTTTCATTTGCCGCATTGGCAATAACTATTATGAATTTCGTGATACTAAATAGCATACCGGAAAGGGTAAAGGCCGGGGAGTCAGGAAATATAGTTAGTTGAGGCAGCTAAAAAAATCGCCAGAGTACCCCTTTAACAACCAGGAGAATTCTTTAGATTCATGTTTCTCTAGTATGGAACGCGTTTCCATCGTTCGGAGTCAATCCCCATTGGTCCATGAAGATATATATCACCCTGCACTTGATGTAGTGTTCTCCCGTATTTCACCAGTTTGCACTCCTCCTTCCTAAAGATGCCTTCCTCACACCTCGTATAGTAATTTCTCGGCAGGCGACTACATTTAAATGCACTATTATTTTACGGATGTCAACTGGGCATCTGTTCTTAAGCCTATCAATGTGAATGAGCAAGTCACTTGCCCCACGAAGGATTGTTCTGGGGGCTATAGAGATATTGTCACGGGTGGTGACCAGAATGACAATAAATAAACAGGAAGAAATAAACGTTTAATGTGGCGAACTTGTGCCGAAAACAAAAAGGAGAATAGAAAATATTAACAAAGCGTCGCGAGCGTCGAGGTCGGCGAGACAGCGGAGTCGAGCGCTGGGGCGAAACTGACTCGACAAGGTCGCGGGCGGCCTCTTATCTAGAGTGAGTCACTATCTCGAAGATTCGGCGGAGAAGGTTCGAGCGTAGCGCGCTCGGGGCGAGAATGAACAAGCACTTTCTAGAACAACAAAAACAAGGATGAACGATAGTTATGTCCAAAGCAAGAATGAACGAGAACTTTCT